TTTAGGACGTTTTTTACTCACTTTATTTCTCTTCCACGATGTTATTTCTCTCTCCAACAGCGTAGGTTACAATTACATTAGCATGACAAATTATGCAAATTAGGTGATGACGTCATTTAGCGACTTCTAGCGACTTTTAGGACAGCCAATAGCGATTTTCCTTACAGAGGAGTTGGCAACACTGCTCACAACACTCCTCCCTCTCAAAGCACCCCGCTGAACCGGCCCTGCACTCTGACAACAAGCCCCACCCCCACGGTTGTTATGACTCTCAGACAGGTTTGTTCTATCCTGACATCTGATCTAACGTGTTTCTCACGCTAACAAAGCCGTGGGCCTATAAGAAGCCCCGCGAGCTCAGTCTCCTGTGCCGACGGGTCCAGCAGACGCAGCATGGGTAAGTGTCTGCGCTCATTGTTAGAAATGTGAGAAATAAATGTATAAACTGCTGAGCGTCCTGTGGGCAGACTGTGTGCATCCACACAGCTCCCAAACAAACCTCAGGTTTATGTCTTTCTTTATATTTCCAAGTATTTGTAATTTTTTTATTACCTCAAATGAAGAAAGATTTTCAGGTTTGTCGATAATGGATCACTGTAGGATGTAAAATAGAGTAATGAATTAATACCCCACACTGGGTGTTCTCACATTTACTTATTGGTTAAAGTGGAAGGAAAAACAAAATTGGAGACTTCGTGTTTCTTTTTTTATTCTCTCGGACTTCTGAAGCTGTGCATGAAATAAAAAAATAAGCTAAAAACAAAACAAAGGAATGTGTTTTTGTTCTTATATCCAGATGGACGAGGAGGAATTTATAATTACAGAAATCCTGCGGTCAGCCTGCTATGACTTAAACGTTATTTACAGGATTTTCTGCTTCCTGTCTTTTGTATTTAGAAACACTATTTAAAGCTCGATTGTGTCGGACGAGCTGTACGTCTGTGTTTACTGTGAAAGAGGAAATGTTTCTGATAAACATCCAGATTGAAATTTGAACTCTTTTCATTTTTTTTATTAGTTTGTTCCAGTTTTCATATTTTGAGCAACACGACAAAGAAAGTCATCA